ATGTGTATGTGCGGCTGCTTGTACTAGCCCAGACTGAAGCTGGTTTTAGAGTGCTAGCCCACTGAGATACCATGCCGTAGTGAAGCATGAATACCCCACTCAGACACATTATACTAACTCCGAGCTGACCAGTCCTTGTTGTACCCATTAATGCCTAGCGCAAGGCAGGGACCAACAAGTACCATATTTTAACGTCTTTTGGTATGACGCGGTCGGGGAACGAACCAGCGACCTTCCGCTCTCCGGGCGGACGCTCTAACCACTACACCACTGAGGCGGTCCACGACATGCCTGAAATATTGCCGATGTGACGATTAATATTAACTCACTCACTATATCCTTGTTGCTCTTAAACATGTAACCTTCATGCACGCTGGGACGGAATGGACTTACGATCTATCTGTGCGTAAGCAATGATTGCGAATTCATGGTTTAGTAATGCATCATTCTTTTATTTATACTCTTTGTGAAAATTGTTCAATACTTTCCAAAATATATTCAGTAAAAGTGGGGAACATGTTTTTAATACTGAAGTAGTGAACTCAAAGTCAATGTATTCCGTAAGAGGTAAGATAAATTCACTCGTGCTTAAATAAACTAAACCACAGACTCAAAGCTTAATTGCATCGTGCTCACGCCCCAAGACACATGAACTATGAGGGATCATACTTGGGGAAACATGAGCTGCAAGCTATACTACTCTTAAGATTACAGATAGCCACATTTGTGTACATTTATGAAGACACAAATGTGAATCAGATATCTTATGTATATTGTGTTATCATTGTTATTACAGAGTGTCTTCTTTCACTACTGTGCAGTCAAGGATATCGCACTCACAACCTGTGGTCTATGGTTAGTCACGGATGATAACACCGCTATTTCACGGCTACAACACATGTGACATTGTCAAGAAAACTGCTATCAGCAACTCTACATTCCCTAAGACCACAAACTTAGATTGTAAGCCGCACAAACCAAAGGTAAGTGATCATCGGCAGAACACCTTGAACGATGACATGACCACGGTACAATCAGAGGAACACTCTGAAGCCAATGCCAACAAGTCTACAGTCCCCCACACCACATACATGGCTCAGGGATACTGATACCCAAGGTAAGTGACAGTACTTCTCAGTTGAAAATATATTGCGTCTTGAAAGATGACATGACCATGGTACAATCAGAGGAACACTCTGAAGCCCTTCGGAAGTCGTGAACGTTATTTTCCTGAATCAAATATTGCCGTATGCTGTTTTCGTATTTGTCTGTTGATTTACCCGTCTTGATCACGTTTGTGAAGACATTTGTTTGGCAGGCAAATACCTGATACCACTGAATATTAAAATACACCCCACTTTTCGTTCTTCATCAATGTTCGTGGTATTGATATTGACACTATGAATATCACTGCATTATTAGTGTAGAAATTATATAATACTCCTTGTAAAAACGATATAATCTTTCCCTGTCGTGAAAGCGATTGCATAAGTATAAACAGGTAATGGAACATCATTGATGGGCATATTCACAGAGCTTATTTTGTGGATACTGTATATTCAGACTGTATCCCAACAACGTGATTTTGTGCTTAATGCTGATATCAGCGAAAATTACATATCTTTTGCGAAGGAAACGATAACAAACATTTTTCAATATATTTTTAAAACTAAGTATTCCTATTTGTATGAAAACATACTTGAGTGTTCCCCATGTTCCAAACCAAACGTATTCGGGAACATTTGAACAATTGAGAAAAAAACGTGCACTTTGCCAAAATGATGTTACGTCCCGAAGCACGGAATGCATGTGCACGACACGTTGGGATCACAGAAAAAAAAGCACACAAAAAGAAATGCCACGTTTGACAGCGACTGAGAGAGAGAGAGAGAGTCGTTGGAATGATCCAATAGGGAGCAACGCACACGGACATCGCCAGAAGGTTTGGATGCGCACTCATAACCGTCACAAGGTTAATGCAGCGATTGCGTCAAACAGGTTCGACAAAAGACTGGCCGAGAAGCGGGAGACCACGCCTATTGGAGGCCGTCACATCCGGGTACTTCATCTCTGGAGCCGCTTTACCACGGCGACGTTAACGGCAAGGACGGCACTGGGACACGTGATAAGTCGACAAACCGTGTACAGGAGACTGCAGGCACATGGTATTCAAGCACGCCGATCCAACCACCGCCGCAACGTCATCCAACATTTGACGTCATCAGCCCGTAGACGTGTACTGGCGTGTATGGACGCTCACGGTGGACATACGCGGTACTAAAGTGACTTTGTGACGTCTGTTGTGACATTTTTTCACACGTGCCTCGTCATGTGCGTTTTAATGAAATTTTTATTTTGGACCCCTCACGTCGTTACAGGCCTGTCCTACTGAGTGTAAAGGATTGATTGAAATGCATTTTTGTACATGAGTTTTTAAAAATAATCTCAAATGACATATACAAATACATATACATGTCTACGACTGCCAATTTCATTTTCGCTTTCGCTCGGTCAGATACCATAGGGGGGACACTCTTTTCGTATAATTCGTATGTTATGAGACATCGTGTAGTATTCTCTATGAGTTAAATAAATTTATCTTTCACAGTGAAAGAATCATTGCTTGTCTCGTGCAACTCTTTCAGAAACTGGAGACCGTATTGATTTTCCATCACAAGGGATAAGTATTTTAATGTCAAAACAGTGAAGCATCTTTTTAATGTCAATTATCATTTAATTATTGAATTTTTACACGAAATAGAATTACTCGATAAATTTTGATGATATGTTTTATATATAGATCTATATTGTATTAAGGGTAGTTTAAATTAGCAACCTAGCTTGTTAGTGGCTGTATCCTCACAGGAGGTTAAAGTATTGTAAATTTATTGTCCTCCTGTGGGGGTACGTTTGTCCCAAAGCATTCAAGATAAATTTATAATTACCATATTTTTTAAACGTAGTATTTTTGTAATTTTAGATTATGGCTAGTTTTGACTACAATCGCCAACAGTTGAAGGGATGTGCAGAATCAATGTTAAGTACGTGTTTGATATAACTTTCTGAATGACATTGTGATTGTTAAAAGTTTCAGTTTCATGAAACAATTAAAAGTCTGCCTTTTATTTGAACGTTTACCGCATTCATAGCAGGAGCCCACGATCCAGTTAGTTACAACAAATATCGCAATGATTATGCGGCCAGAGTTGGGTGTAGGTTAAAACAGGAAATGCGCTGAAACCAGCGTTGTTCATATTGTTTTGAACGTGTTTGATAGTAAATCTTATTTGTATGGCATTTTTCTGAAGACAATGCCCGCATGCTGATGCCTTATTCTTGTGTTCGATCTTTTTCGCTCACGTGTATTTGGTTTTGTGTACTTACCTCATCCAACTAAAGCAATATTTCTAACGGTGGTGATATTTGTGCAAGTATAAAGCATATGCCATTATGGGACAGTTACCTTCAGATAAATGAAAAGTTTGACTTGATAACTGGCACTGGAATCTGTAGTGCATTAAATCTGTCTGTTATAACAGAACAACATACGTGTAACCTTGGCAATACAATTTAGGGCCATCCATTTTGTTTCCTAGATGTATATATTTGATAGCCGTCACGAGTTCGTGATATGACTAAATATTCTGCTCAGTGACGGCTGAGCTCATTCAGTGTGCCCACCCCTGGTGACGTCGTCTGTAGGATGTGTTCTTCTCGGGGCCCTGCAGGTTGTAAGAGTTGATTATTTAATGAAAACAATTTCTGTTGCAACTGTGTACATTTTGGTTCATTGAACATAAGAATATGATTCAGAAGAAGATTCGCATGGACATTTGATTTGCGAAAAGGGAAGTTTCTGGAGTGTGAACAGGTTGCAGCTCCTCAGTGAAAGGCAAAGTTAAAGTAAGTGTCAGTTGAAATTAGTAATTATTATTCATTATGCGCGGTGTTCGATATCAACTGTGAAAATGAAATCACAAATGTGAAAAAACTAAAACAAAATGGCCGTACAAATTTAACCTTTGCTGGAAATTAAACAATTTTAAACTCTCGCTAGAGAATCAACACACACACACACACACACACACCGCGCGCGTTTTCTGATACGATTATGACATGCAGGATGGTTGTTGTATTAGATTGATCTGTCACTTGTCATCCTCTTATCAAAACTCACATCACGCCTTTCAGTTGTTCAGCAAAAAAATGGTATTCAGCGCAGGTTCTCATTGGTAATATGTGTACGAGGGACAGTCAAAAAGTAGTCGGCCTGACCTAGTAAATGATACAAATGCAGCTGTTTTTATGTTTTATTTTTCTACATATTATCTGTCAACCTCAAGCAAATTGGTTTTGCTACGTTCCAGCCTTACGATCCCCATTTTGTTTGACATTTTATCTTGGTACCCCCCAAAAGCGCAAAATCTGCAATAAATGCACCACAAACTTCAGGTAACAAAATATGCAAGAAACATTTTGTGTGTTTGAGATAGGTAGACGTCCGCTAGAATCAAACTGAGATATTAAAGTGCATAAAAAAGCAATTTGAAAGTACAATCGCTTGTTAAAGTGATTCCTCCTTCATGTTTACTGAAACAGCTTGTTTTGGAGACACTACCCACCCCCGTTCAGACGACGAATTCATAAGGACATAACTTATTCTAATGTTTTCACTTTTTCACACATGATGCTAAAGGTTCAAAGTAAATACTGAATGGTCACACAAGTGTCAACTCTCAGTATATTGTAAACAGGGCCAGCTTGAATATCTGGACACAATGTTTTTGAAAGACTAAATGGGGGGGTCCTTAAGACTAAATGGGGGGGTCCTTAAAAGAAACAGCCCCCGACTAAATATGAATCAAGCAATCCAAAGCTTTGACTCTTGATTATGACGGGAAGTCATCCAATACTATACTAACATATTTTATATGACATTATATGAGGGCATACCATTATCCAAGAGGTACTAAATGACGGATCGTTTTCATTTTCTGCATTTTTTCTAGAAATATTATACCCGAATGTGTTGTGATGACTTATATCTCGTTAATCACATTACCCACATATGTGAATTTTTTTATACGGTTTTGGTAATGATTCAAACAAACTAAAATGGAACCTCTTCAAACATTGGACATCGAGAATATAGTTAGGCCGACTACATTTTGACCGACCCTCGTATACCTGTATGGCGGGGGAATGCAAAATGACATGCTGTATATACGCAGCTCAGCTGAGATGAGATAATGTTATACATATGCTGACAGACATTTTGATAAAAATGAGACAGGTGTTAATTATCTATCTCACGGGCTGCTACGTTAAGACCCTGCTGCACATACATTGTATGACAACTCAAAATAGCAGATTAGTGGAAGACAAACAAGATCTTTCCATCGCTTGACATGAACTGTTTTACTCTCCATTGTTTGTTCAAGGACCAGTGTGCGAAACAGATTTCAATTCTTGCTAACCAGTCGGCTAGTTATGCCTGAAAGTTACTAGCGCACAAGATAATTCACTAGCCTGACATTTGAATGTAGAAACTAAGCAAAAGATTACAAAAAGGTAAAATACCATCAAAAACAAATAAGAAAACACATGTCTGAATTTGAAGTATTTAGAAAAGATATTGCTCAGTCTTAACTTTTATGTAATCCAGGATGTGAATGAACTGGTTCAACTTTACAACGAAACTCTGACTAATGTTCTTCAGAAACATGCCCCAGTCGTTACAAAGCAAGTGAGTGATCGAAAAAGCTCTTACTGGTATGATAAAATGTGTTCTGAAGGCGAAACGTAAACGTCGCATAGCTGAACGACAGTGGCGAAAGTCTGGCATTGAAGTACATCGACAGATCTACAGGAATGCTAGGAATGATCTCAACCGGATTATTCGTACAGCAAAAGTGGAAGTGACTACAAATAGGATAAAGGGAATGGAAGGGAGCCATGACATCATGTCTCTTAATATATGCTGTTTGTGCCAAGGAAGGGCATCCATTGACAAGGTGTTGGACGGTCTCTGTAAATTCATTACACAGTCGGCATTTCATATTGATATTTTCTTTAAGAATCACATTTTGGTGATTAAGAGTGAGAAGTGACTGGTGCAGAGCAGCGAAAAGGAAGCCCTCAGTTTCACATTTAAGACCAGCCGACTTCATCCAGGTGAAGGAGTCGGTTGCATGTCTATTCTGTTCCGCACACTGCATGTACACACGATGCAATGGTTTTTCAGAAAGAATCTCCACAAATGACCGACTCTGAGCAGACCTGGTGAATAACTTCACCTGGTTTAATCCCATCGCTGTGCCGTCCAGCAGTACATCGCCATCAACAAAATCAACCTCAATTTTCAGATTCTGTCCAACAACCTCGGCACGCTTAAAATAGCTGTGGAATTCCTTGCTTTCAGCATGATTCTTGACATGCATCACCAGAGGATCATCCGATAAATATATATGTGGAAAGGTACACAAAATAATTCTATAATGAAGAGCCGCCACATTAATCAACCCCCGACCTCCAAAATTGATTGGCATATATAAACGGTTAAGAGAGGAACAAGGGTGGTGGGCTCTGTTATCAAATCAATTACTCCAAAGGAATAGGAAAGGACTGGCACAGCAAAAGAATTGGTGGCTTGGACCTTGTTTCGAGCAGTTAGCTCTGAGCTCCAGATTTTCTTTATGCGAGATTTATACTCGGCCTGAAGTTGTCTTGAATTTGGGCACTCTGGAGCTTGTCTCGAACTTGCATTCCCAAGATTGGTGTAGGCCTGATCTTCCACAAGATGTTCAATATTATTATTATATTTTACAGATTAAAGATAGTATGCAGCAGAGTGGGCTCGAGTGATCCTGGCACAGTCAGGCTGCTAAGGCGCACCATCAGCTCAGGGCCCTTGGCTCCTCTACACGCAGCCCAGACAGTGAATAGGACTTCTCCCAGGAAACACTGCCTAGTCGAACCCACCAAGAACTTTCCGGAGAATATGTAGACTCCCCAGTTTTGAGCCTAAAAAACTTACGCAAAAATGGATTAGCTTGAGTACAGAGCAGTCATAATGTTTTTGGTCCTTGAGGGCCATTGGCGAGGCACATTGAAGAGCGACAGCAGTACGGGACATTTATTGTCACAGAGAATGTTAGTTAAATGCAAATTCACTGAAATGAAACCTCTGTATGCAATAAAAATTCCATTACCATATTGACTCCCAAACACACCACGGGGATTTTAGGACATTATAACACAGAGGTCCTAAGTATGGCGTGGCGTCTTTTAGAGGAAAAACTTAAATTTAAAGGAACTTCAAAGGAAAATTTATATGGCGGAGTTGTAGGCCAAATGGACAGTAGCTTGTGTTTCAGACCCTGTATTTGATTTGGTGTTTTGTTTTTAATACTGAAGTAAACCTCCTCACTGAAAATATATACGCGTGATTGTTCAGTTATACAGGGTACTATACTTATGTGTATCATTTCTAAATGCCATTCAAAGACCTATTATACTTTCATTCAAAATGTGATCTGGGTCTAGTTATCTTAGCTGCGTACAGAATCAGAATACTATGACGGTATGGTTATCACGTGTGTGCATATGTGTGCATGTTTTTGTGTGTCACTGATACTTTCGTTGCTATTTGAGCAAGTTATTAAACAGTCCGTTAGCGCAGGATTCAGTACGACCGCAGAAAGCCACAAGCTTCGAGTCAAACTCTGGCCTATAATTGACACGCCAGAGCTGATTACAAATGTAAATACTGATACACGTAAAAATTGTAATTGTGTTGATAAATATCACGATCCTGCCTCGTCGTATATCATCGACTGGTTTGAAAGAGCTCATCTCCACATCAAATGTGCAATGCCCACGCAACCGTACCTAGGCTTTGCAGACAATATGTTCAGCAGGTAGATACGTTAATCAATAGGGACAAAACTACTCTCAACAAAAATAATATACAGACTATATATATATATTGCAGATGTGTACAAAATATTCCATTAATGATTGCAGGTGAGAGACAAACACAACCTCGTACACAGTCATGTCCAAGGTTTGTATACGCACTTTCTTCATAGCAAAAATTAAGAGACACAACAGGTAGTTACCCTCACTGGTAATGTCACTGAGAAGATGTATCTTTAAAATAAAATTGTTTATTTTCAATTGTTTGGTTCCGAATTGTTTTCCCGAATGTTAAGTTAAGTCAGTATATATACACAGGTAGAAATTATTAAGTTACTAATTCTGTTATCAAACGATTATTCGTTCGAAGGAAATACACGGAATATATTAATAAAATTCCCTTTTCTTGTTCATTTACTTTGATGTGTTTGGCATTACTGAAAATATTTAACAGATACGCTGGGAAAATGAAAACAAACCTATTTTGCTAAACATTTGCACAAAGAGTTCCCAAAGGACAGTTTTAATTGTAACTAAACACGTTGCAATTGAATTAATTGAAGTCATATGTTCTAGGTACTGGCATGTCTTCGAAGGAATGTATTGCTGATAGCAAACCTCACTTCAGTTACTCTGGGTGTTACAATAGGACTGCTGTGTCGTCCTCTAAACCCTTCTCCTGATGTGGTCAGCCTTATCTCATTTCCTGGGGAGATATTTTTCAGAATGTTGAAGATGCTGATTCTGCCCCTGATGGTGACAAGCCTTGTTACTGGTAATAGAATATTTCTTTTGTTTTTTACTTCTCCGCCACATCCACGTCGTCCACCTGGGCGGTGGGGTAACCTGATGGTCAAAGCGTCCTATCGTCATACTTATGACCCGGGTTCGATTCCCCACATGGGTACAATGCGTGAAGCCCATTTCTGGTGTCTCCGACGTGATATTGCTGGAATACTGCTAAAAGCGGAGTAAAACCATACTCGCTCACTTTCCCGCCTATCAATTTCTGGTAGTTTGTGTCACTGTACATAGAATGGCATCTTGTTCATTAAAAAAGGGATATGAGTTCCCAATATAACCGTTCTGTTAACCAGTAAATATAATTCACCAACGCCTGAGATTAACCATGTTTGCTGATTTCATTGGGTGAAGGACAAAAAGGCGGTGAAAATGATGTTATATATGGATCATCTGTTTGACTGGCATAAAAAAAAAAAGTAGTAAAAAGAAAAGTAGGATACTTTATGGAAAAAGTCTATACATGTATACTGCTGTCAAGCAAGAGACTTATAGACTAACAGGGATTAACAAAAACGTCATTGTGGTATGCATGAAAATGATTAACGACAAATATGGATATTGGTAAATAATGCAGTAACAACTGTTCGTGAGGCGGAACAAAATACTGACGTGATCGCTGTAGTCTCTTTATCTGTTTTATGAGTTCATTGTAGGCAGATAGGATGAGATATCCTTGGTTTCTGTTGATTAGGGGTTTGTGTCAGCGGATTTGATCTGCTTTTGCAAATTGTATTTTTGTGCAGTCTGGGGTTTTTCGATAATATTTCTACATTGTCCCACCTGATGTGGTCAGAACAGTTGATGATGTCTGACATTTATTGTGTGTCATGATTGATAATGATTATCTACTGAGAACAACATACCAAAGGAAGGTTTTGAATTGTCACATCCATTCTTACTTTCTGAATTCAGTTGTGATTCCAGTTATGAGTCCATTCATAGTTACAGTTCAGAGACTTGAACTGACAAAAAACAATTAATGGATGAAAATCATAGAGACCTTTTCAACACAGCCACATAATAGTTTTTTAGGCTTCCATTGAGAAATCTTACAATCACAATCCCCATATGGTAATTTTTTATTGATCACAACAGACGACCTTTTAAGCATTACTTTTGACAGGGCTAGCAAACCTTAATGGAAAGTCTGCAGGTAAGATCGGTCTGATCACCATCGCCTACTACATCTTCACCACCTCGGTTGCAACCCTCGTCGGCATCATCCTCGCCATCGCGATCAGGCCAGGTCATGTGATCAACAATGACGTCATCACAGTCAAGTCTGTAGACGATCCGCCATCGCAGTCTGCTCGAGATGTGTTCCTGGATTTAGTAAGGTTGGCATCATAATACTACTACCACCACTACTACTACTACTACTACTACTACTACTACTACTACTACTACTACTATTGTTGTTATATTAACTTCTAGTGTTGTTTCTACACCAACGAGACATACATGAA